AAGACCCAACCGAAATAATTATTTGTCGCTTTCCCTGTGGGAAATGTTTCTAACTTGCGAAACGGCCCAACATTATAAGCATAGCTTGCGAAACTGGGTTGCAGATGTACTAGCTAATTTATTGCTGCCATTGGATCCAGACCTAACATTCATGCACAATTCTTTGATTACTGTCATCGTGGGTATTGCTTAGCGCGGACAGAAGCGATTTTACTATGGCGGGAGTCCTTTCGAGCCACCCATTTACGAGGCGTCATTTTCTGGCGGAAAGGGAAGATATCACAAGACGTGAAACGTTCTATCGTCTCACTTCTTGGCCCCCCTCATGCTGAATTTTTCTTTTCGGCGTGTCTTTTGAGTACATTGACTGCGAAGTCTGTTCGGTAGCCTTAAGGGATTAGACATACTTTCTTACCTGTTAGCGCACATTTTTACCAAATTTGTAATTCTGTTGTTTTTTTGACTATAAAGGGGCGTATGTTATAAACACCTGGGGTACTTTCGATCGGCCTTTTGAGCACGGACGTCTAGCCTTATTCCTCATGCACATTCGATTTCCTCCTGTCACTAAATTAAAGCCTTCTTAGTTACCACCCAAATATTGCGCTTCTTATTTAGTGTATTGAACACGATTTGAGTAGTTTTTCTCTCCTCCCGTACTGCAGCCTATGAAGTGTTGTCGGATGAAAAGCGCAGGAGGGTTTATGATTCCATGGGTCATGAGCAATACGTAGCCCACCCCGGAGCTCATGAGCAATCCGAATGGATGGGCAATTTCCCCAGCCCCTTTTCTTTCGGATCTCACTCCTTTTCGGCCCCATTTGAATTCACTGACAGCTTTCATCCGTTTGAATCCTCTGCCTCACCGTTCGACGACTCCTTCGATCCTTTTGTCTTTGCTGAGGATACACACTTTGGGAGGAGTTTTGCCTCAGAGACGGTTAACAGGCGCGACAGTGAGTAATTCTCTGTTTTGTCATCAAACTTGATGCATGTTCAGTCCACTCTTTTAGACGTGTGCTATAAAAACTGAGCAATTATTCATGCTTGACAACGTTGCTCTAGCACTCTGGTGAATATTTCTGATGCTCTTACTCAACGGTCGTGTTTATGTGGATCGGGTCTAATTCCCTCTCATGCCTACGTGGCGATTATCACACCATGTGTATCAAGGTAGCCGCGTGGTTTTGCAGGATTACGACAGTTCACTCCAGGGACCTTTCTGCCCACGGGACCATAGTCTGAGGTTAGCACGTGTGACAGTGCCTGACTGCCCTCCTTGTGTTTGTAAATACTACACTGAGGATTGCAGATGCCAGGGTCAATTGACGTTTGTACGCTGCAATATAAAATACCAAATGTGCTCACGTTCCCTAGTGAGCATATCGAGGAGTGTTAAGGTTGAAAAGGTTAACCCTAACGACTGCGATCTTCCAGGCCCGGTCCCTTAGGAGAAAAAAAAGAAGTCATGGGAAGGCTAGGGTAGTAGGAACAGTATATCTGTACAGAAGGAATGGAAGAATAGATAGGAGGAGATTTGACTCTCGGATGTGTGCAGTCCGTTCCCTAGTCGGGTCGGGTCTGAAGTGATGCCTAGCGACAGTCACCACATTGAGGTCCA